TACCAGAATATTTGAAATGTATCAGAGCTGGCAACAGGTGTGTAAAAGTCAATGATGCCAAATTTATTTTTGCCACTTTGCTAGGCCAGCTGGCCTTTTGTTTCCCTTTCATGGACTCTTTTGACTCCATCTATTATATACAATCCCATTTCTATTAATCTGGGTATTGAACTTACTGTTAGGTTAAGTATAAAAAAAGAACCCAACAAACCAACCAAGCTGTCAGGTTGTTCTAAATAAAAAGGCACAATTTCAGCACCAGTTTTCATTTACCTGAACCACTGCACTATTTTCTAGTGCAGAGCTGCCAATGATACTCAGCCCCTTCCTCATGCTTTATCCAGCTCTACAAATTACTATTTTATGATACTGCAGAACCCTCTAGGCTATTCTTCTTAATTCCTTCTGTTTCCTCTCTAAATGTCTCCAAGTGTCCCTTTATTTCCAGCAATTATTTATAGACATCTGTCAGTCCAGGCTCCTTGGCTGGAATGCAATGGATCCAGGCTATTGTGCAGCACAGAAAACAAGTTACTTTCTTTAAATGCAATTCTCAAGCAATTTTGCTAAACCACTGCAGTTAAGATTTTACCCCACTGGGTTTGCAGCATATTGTTGTAAGTCACATAATGTCAGATGCGTTTAAAATAATTTCTGTCAAGCGCCTCCAGCAAGAGAAATGAGGTGGCTGCCAAGTTCATTTAACCCTCCTCCGTTTTGCAACCTCTAAAAGTGAGATATCCAAACGTTTCTGCCTGCCTATGGAATCCATAGGCAGAATCCATAGGATTCCATAGGGAGCCACCCTCACTAAAGTTCTCAGGTGAGGCTGCTGCAAGACACAGCTCCTCAACCCTTGAGCTGGCAGCTGGAAAAATCAGAGATCTACAGGAAATAAACTGGGTCATAACTCAGAAAACAAAAACATGAGAAATCAGCAGTGCAGCGAACACAAAACCCATTACAGCCAATCCAAAAATTGCCATCAGTGTCACTGAGTCAGGCTCAGCCATTATTTTCCTGGTACATATATGCTGACTGCAACCCCATCCAGAAATGGGAGCTGGTATAAATAAAAAACAACAGATCAAGCTGGTTCTCCTGTCTTCAAACAGTTTCGACTGGTCTTTCAATTTATTTATTTATTATAAATAGCCTCCAAGTCTGCAGTCCCCCCAGGAAAAGACCTAATAGAAATCTCAGCACCTCTGTGGTCACTTCAAGCACACATCGAAGTGTACTTTGTTAGGATTTGACTCTGGGCTATTTTCAGAACTATGACAATTTTCCCTGAAAAGAGCTAATTTACTGTAACTAACTATATTATTAAATTTCCTCAGGAATGATATATCAAGAAATAAATCTGTAGCAATATCACCTAGCAGTCACATATTTTTATCATTAATTATAAGGTCTGGCAAGCCCTAGCTTGAAATTCAGATGAATACTCATTGTAATGAAGTTTATATTCTCACTAATTATAGGCAGGTACTTGCCTCTCCAGAAATGTGATGGCACATAAATTGTAGGTGTCCAAATAACCAGTGGTGTTTACTGTGAGTTTAAAAATCACACACACAAAAATGTGAATGGCCTTAGTGACATAAAAAAATCTATTTAAACACCATCCAAACCATCCTCACTGGGACTGTGCTCAAAAGGCTTTTTAATTATTCATAGACAGATTAAATAAATAAAAAAATCACATGCTGTTTCCAGGTTTTCTTCAATTTTGTTGGATTTATATCTCAGATAGAAGAGAATAAAGCAAAAAGGGGCTTGGCACAACTTTTCAATGTAATTTCTGTGTTGTTCCCTTTTTAAGGAAATAGCTTTCAAATCATTAAGGAAAAAAGTCACTTTGTAAAACAATAAAAAACTGGAAAATATGTCCTACAGCAACACCAGGGAAGTCCAATATGAATATTCACTTGATTTTTTAAATTTTTAAGGTTTTAAGGTTTACATATTTAAGGTTTTGACACTAACTCTCTCCAAGATTTATTTATCAATAATTCTCTGATATTCCTGATGAGGAGACAACACCTAAGTTCAATTGTGCAGTCAATAAATGAGTGGAAAATCTCTAGAGAATTCCATTGGCTTTGTGACTGATAAAATTGTGGCCTAACAGGAAAACACACAGGAATCCTGTAATAATATTTTAAGGTAATAATATCATCTGAATGCTTTAAAAAGGCCCAAATACTGCAGATAAGTTTCACACTATATTTGCATCTTTCTCCACATAATTGTGCATCTCTCACAGAGTTATTGGTATCCATGGACATTTACACCTTGGTCCAGGGAGCATCAAGGCAAATCCAAGATACCTACTTGAGCACTTTTCATTTTTAGCAGAATTTCAGTGTGTGGGTTTGATTCAGAGCTTGAATGAAGCTGAAGGTGGTTTGATAAGGCATAAGGTTATGCATCCAATGCAAAGCTGGAATATGAAATGCAGGGAATTCTCAGAACTTTGGGTCTGTAAGCCAAAGCTGAGGATTAAACACAAGATTTGATGTGAGAACTTGGAAGAGGCTTCCAAACTTGGTAATAGAAGTGAGAATATAGCTTTAAAGTAGAAACACATTAAGCTAAAAAAAAGGAAAATTTAGAGTTTTAGAGTTTAAAATATAGAAAAAAAATAAAGTAGTTACTAAGGTAAACAAGAAGTTTAAAATGCAGTACTGTAAGTTTGTGTGTCATAACATATTTAACTAAGAAAGCTGACACTATGACGTGAGTCCATAAAATGAAATATTTAAGGATTTGATCAAAAACAAATATCCATACTAACAGTATTTTATTAGTCAATAAATCCTTAAAAGGCCTTATAACTAAGGGTCTTTTGACCTTCTGAACTATGCTGTGAAGATGTGAGCTGAACTCACCCTTCCTACCTATACAGAAGACAAGAAAAATAAACTGCATCATCTAAAAACTCAGAGATCCCATCTCTAATTCGTTCAAAATTCCTTCAAAAATCCCCACACAAAGCCTTCCTTTTGCAACTTCAGAAATGAAATACAGCACAATTGCAATCCAAAGGGAAGAACTCAGGAATGCCACTTGCCAGCACATCAGGATTCCTACCAAGCTGTGCAGTGTAACCTTTGATTTGGAACAGCACGGCAGCTGGTGGGGCCCTTCCAGCTCGGAACATTCTCTGATAACCTCTGTGATAAAATAGCAGAGCCTGATGAATAATTTGAAGATATGTGCCATAAGTTGGGAAGAACTATGGAAAAGAAGACCAGGAAATCTTGGCTGAGTGGGTGCCATCTGCATAGAGAGCTGTGACTGATTCCAGCCAACCCTGATTCCGCAGGTTCCTTTGTGCACAAAATAATTTTGCAAGCGCTGGTGCTCTTGACACCAGGCAAATGAGGTTATGAAGTTTAATGTGATGAATACCAGGAGGGAAGGGAGGGAGTGTAAGGGAAGGAAAGTTGAGAAAAATTATTCAAACTTTGGCCAACAGGAAAGACAATCAAAATGCTAAATGATACCTGAGTCAATACAGAGCAGCAATAGGAGAAAATGGATGAAACTATTACAGAAGAATTCACCGGAAGGTGGGCTGAGAAACTTCTCCACTGAATCAGAAGTGTAAACTTCAATATAAGGAGTGGGAAAAAAGGAAAGCAAGGAGAGTTTATGGATAATAAAAATAGAGAATTGCCAGTTGAAAAACATACTAGAGACCTACAAAAGAAAAGAGTGTTCCGCTGGCAGCCATATTCTCAAATATGAAACATTTCTTGTTTGGCTGAAAAGATCATCAATATCTTCATTACATGCTTGTCACAAGTGAGGTAAATAAACATTTACCTCAAAAATTTAATCTGTTGAAAGAGCAGCTTGTAATGCCTTTCATACCCACAGGTTTTCAGATAGGAAGGACTCTATGTGAAAGTGCAAAATTCACCAGAAAGCTCACATAATACAATGGAAGAGTTTAACTTGGATGGTTATACCCACATTAAAACTTGGAACAAGATCTTACTCTTGTAGAATTTCCTCATCAGACAAAATCAACAGGAAATTTAATCAGAACATTTTCCTTACTAACTTTAATTATCAGTGTGTTTTTGTTTTGTTACAATGGTTGTATCTGCATTTACAACATCTGTTTACCAGCATTGTTCAGTATTTCAATCTCCCCAACAACGTTAGTTTATTCATAATGTGCTTTCCATTTATTTGTGTTATTTACCAGACTCATACTACATAAACAAATAAAAATAACCCTTCCAGTAACTAAACTTACAGGGAAAAAATGTGAAATTCCCACTCTGCACAGAAATTTCTTGTGGTATTTGGTTTGAATCTTAATCGTATCCTAGGGGTTGTCTTCATTGATTCCAGAGATGAATAAAAAACATGAGCCTAAATCAAAGCTCCTATTTCCAACTAATTTCTGGGTATTTTCCTTTTACTTCTTTTTTCTTTTTTTTACTGCAGAGACTTGTTTTCCAGAAATCATTACCCATTGTCCTAAAGTTGTGCTTCTCCTGCTTCTTTTGTGAAGGGAGAATTCAGTGAGGCACAAAATCAACAAGAAAGCTTGTACAATATGATAATAATGCATTTATCAACAGAGGATTTGCTCAGGCTCTATTTACTGAGCTGGGACTGGCTTGGACATGTCGCAATAGGACAAAAAAGAAATGACACGGACATGGAAACTCTAAGGTGTGTCGCAATAGGACAAAAAAAAAAGACACAGACATGGGAACTCTAAGGTGAGAAGAAGAAGAAGGGAAGTTTATTCTCTGACTCTAATATTTATAGACTTTCAAAAGTGACAGTGGGGATGAAAGTGTCACCTCTCCAACGACACTGGACAAACTAACAGCCCATGAAATTTCTCCTCCTCCAGAAAAGAACGCAAAACAATAATTATTTACATAAAAGTGCGTGAGAAACTTCATTACAAGAATGTAAACATCAGAAAGCTTAGAAGAACTGGGGAAAACAAAGCAGCACGGACTCACCAGTGGCAGATCCCTCCATGACGTGCCCAACGTAGGGGCCCTCTTTGAACATGGGCCTGTTGTCGTTCTGGTCGATGACCGAGATGTCCAGGCGCACCGGGCCATCCATGGTCTTCCCGTTCATATCCACCACCTCCACTTCCAGCTGTGGGAACAGGAAAAGGAAGGAAGTCATGAGTTCACTGTCACAGTGAGAAAAGAGTAAGACAAAAAGAGTTCTGATGAGCATTGGTGTGGCCAGACCCTACCAAAGACAGCACTTGCAGCCCTTTCTTTTGGACCAGGCTCAGAGCAGATTTCTCCTCGAAGCAAAAGAGACAGATGTACATTCAAACTCAGATATCCCCTGGCAGCTTGAAGATGCCATGTTGCCTAAAGAATTAATAGACCAGAGCTTAAAAAACCAAAAAACCTGACCCCTTGTAAATTTGTCCCTACTCATGTGAAGATTTGGTTAGAATTTGTTTCTTTGCTTTTATCAAGCACATCTCCAGTGGACACATATAGAATTATCATGGTAGAATTGATATTAATGCTCACCCAAAAACCTTTTTGAAAACAAACAGAAAACAAAACCATGAAAACGGAAAAAAACCAAAAAAAGCAGGAATGCATGTACAGCTTTAGATATTTTTTTCAATGGTGATGGCATGAAGTGTTTCTTAGGCCATTTTCAGATTCCTCTGGGTCTTCTAATGAGGTGTGGAAGAATGATAGAACATCTTCAGTCTCAAGCAAGTGGATATTCACTTGATTCACAAGCTGAAGATTTGTCTTTCTTTACTTCCAAAAACTGGAAAGAAAGATCCTATTGCACATCAACCCTCCATACCACATGCAGTGCAAGGTTCCAATGAGTCACCAGGGCAAACCACACCAAAACTTCTTAAACAGAGAAATCAATTTAGATTGCAACTGTGTGCTATACCTGCAGTTCTGTCCCCTCAAAAGAAATCAATAAAATATAGCAATAAACATGTCTGAGACATCACTATCATTCTCACCTGCCCTTCCCATCCCCAGACTCTAATGGAGTTAAGCCAGCCAGAAAATGAACCTGGGCTCAGATGTTAATATCACTCTCTCCCAGTCTTTCCCTGAGAAAATGGTGCCAACAGGGGCTGGAAGTCTCTGAGCATTTTGTTTGTACTGTTAATTTATTCTTCATTGCCCTGTCTTATACCTGTGAGTTATTTATAACTTAGTGATAAATCCTACTGGGAAAGAAATAGGTCAGAATCCTAATTCCTTATTAAAATGGATGGCTTATCATCACCTTTCTCTGTTTTTTGTTATGCTCATAAATACCTTCCACTTTTTAAATTCAATGTGTTGGGTGTGAGTAGGAGTATTTGTTATGAGTGAGACACCTACTTAGAGGCACTGTTTGTAAATAGTGTCACAGTCCATTTTAACATCTACTCACTGCTTAGCCTCACTTGTCTAGGAAATGTTCTTGCAAGCCTTTCCCAAGCCTTATTTTTTATTATATGGCTTAACAGCTTAAAGGCAGACAAATATTCTGGTTGGAATGATTCCAGTAGCTTTGGCACAGCTGAAGATTGCTGGGAGCACCTCCCCTTCAACTTCTGGGTTTGTTCAACTCTGAGCTCCACACTCAATGCAGGAATCTTTGCCATAGGATGTGATGTGGACGGGAAAAGGAAAAATGATTCCATTCCTGAGCTACATTAAAGTCAGATACAGTTTTAGCTACAGCTGGAAACTGCTGACAAAATGAATCAGAAAAACAATTTGGCTTGGAAGGGACCTTTAAAGTTCATCTATTTCCACCCCCTGCCATGTGCAGGGAAACTTTTCACTGGAGCAGGTTGCTCCAAGTCCCATCCAACCTGGTCTTGAAGGTTTTCCAGGGATGGAACATCCACCACATCTCTGGGCAACCCATGACAGTGTTTTACCACCCTTACTGTAATTTCCCTCTCTTTGTATCTAGTTCAAATCTCTTCTCTTTTTGCTCAAAACCACTTCTCTTTATCCTATCAAACAGGCCCCACTAAATGTTTATCCCCAACCTTCCTGTAATCCCCTGAAAGGGGCTCTAAGGTCATCCTGGGGCCTTTTCTTCTCTTTACATGCAAACCACAAAGGATAATCAAGACTTAAAGAGAAATTTTACACCTCACAGCACAAAACTCCATGATCAGATTTGGGGCTGAGCACCCTAACTCTCTGAGCTTGTCCTTACAGGAGAAATGTTCCAGCCCTCTGCTCTTTTTTGTGGTCTCCTCTGGACTCACATATCCACATCATCCCTGTGCTGAAGACTCCAGAGCTGGACACTTTATCAAAGTAAGACTGACTCATCAAAACCATGTTAATTGCTTTGGGAAGTGAAAGAATAGCAATATTTCCCTGTGAAATTCCAGGAAATTAATTTTCAAATTCAAGATAATTTGCTCCTAATCTATCTCTCAGTATCAAGTGACTGTGCTCTTCATTGGAAAGAACAAAGAATTTGCTAAATTTAAAAAACTGCTTCAGCTGCTTTATCAGAATTGTAAGTCATTTAAAACAAAGGCTGATCTAACAGTAATTTTTTGGGGTTTTTTTCTCAGACTTGCACAGATTAAGGAAAAGAATAGGAGATTCTTATTAATGACTGAAATAGATTTACTTTATCTTTGCCAAGTCAACTGCATCTGAGAGCAACTGTCCAAAAAATTTGGCATGACAGGTCTGTAGGAACAGCTACATGATATCTTCTTCATTTTATTAAGATTGTCAAGGACTTTATTTTATTAATCTTTGTACAATAATTTTCAAGTCTGTCCTAAGCATTGAGTGAACTCACCAGCAGCACTGAAGTTATGGTCATCATTCTTCATATGACCAGTTTGTGAAAGAAGCTGTCTGATATTTTATGTAGTTTCTCCATGAAAAAAAAAAAAATAACAAAACCCCCCCAAATTAAAACAAAAACAAACAAAAAAAAATTCATAAAATCTGTTCATGAAATAACAGCAGAAGTGTATTGTTATTTCCAAAAATCCAACACATGCAAGTGAGAAAAACATTGAAGTAAAAGACAATATTAGCACTTTGAACAGGTTGTAAATAAAACTAGGTGGAAAATGAGATTGTCCCAAATAACAGAACTGTGAGATTTCAGTCTTTCAATGCAGAAGGCAAGAAAGCCATATCTGGATTTAGTGTAAACTTGACTGATGTAGGAAAGATACTGAATTAATTATTTTGATAACAATAAACTGTAATGGCACATTCAGAAAAGGTTTAAGTTCCTACCTGACTATAACAATGCAGCTCCAAGGACAAACTCTAAGCATAAAAACAAATTTGAACAAATTGAAAAAAACCACCAATCTGCAGAGTCCTGCAGCTGCTTATTTTGTGAGAAACTGATGCTTTCCCACTTAAAAGTTATGGAATTATATTCATGGGGGTGTAAACTAGACGGTCCTTTCCAACCCAAACCATGACTCGATGATAGTGATGAAGTCATGCTCATCATAACCTAACCTGTGATTTTCAGGAACTCTTCCAAATCCCAGTTTCATTTTTGACACAAATACACATGCAAACCACAAAGGATAATCAAGGCTTTAGAATACATTTTACACCTCACAGCACAAAACTCCATGGTCAGAAGCAGACTTTGGCTGGTGCCCCAGCATAGCTCAGGAACACTGATCAAATTAGGCACAGCAATGGAACAGGGAAAAGCAATACAAACCCCCAAACTGCAGGCAGGAATAGATTTTATCCTATCTGGCAAACTCCTACTGAACCCTCTGCCTTCTGAAAATGGATTATTTCTAGGCTTCCCATCCAATTTCCCTCAGCATATGCAAAGCAAGGATCTTTCATCACCCCAAATATAATGATCTCATCAGAAGTTAAGCTTATTCAAAGTTGCTCATTTTAGGCTTTCTGCTTTATTTTCAACAGTCTTGAATCCTTTCTACTCTGCAGTCAGCAATAACATTTACATGAAAAGATAACCAGTCTCGTTCTTACCATTACTTCAAGTAATTTCAAAGGTTTCTCTTCACAGAAGGGTTGTTTTCATTCATTTATTGCTTTTTGGTGAAACGATTCTGGAGAGCCACATTCCTTCTCTGCATATAAATGTCTATTTTCACTTTGCAGGCAGCCAGCCAATGGCCCACATAAAATTACATCATAAATTTGGAGATTTTCATAAGTAAATCTGGAATATCTTTTAGTGCTTAATTATCTTCAAAGCCTAAGACAGGTTATTTAGTCATTACCTGCCATCTAATTTTAATTTCCGATTTGTTGCCCACAGGAATGTTTCTCATGTAAGTTTTCCATTTGTTTCAACAGATGGTTTTTCTACTTGTTCCTCATCCCCAGTTTCACAAGAGCACTGCACCATCCAAAATACTGAGACACCACCACCTGCCCCTCCTCAGCTGGATTTATTTATTGATCCTATTAATTATTGACAATACTTGTTAGGTTCATTTATCATCAGTTTTTAAGTGTGGATTGACAGTAAGGAAAGGCAATGGACTTATGGATCTTTCATTCAGGCAATTTCCTGGTAAGAAAAGAAAATTTGGCCACAGCTAGGTCATAGAATGTAGTATAGAAATTCTCTTTATAGTGCAAGGTTGTAGTAAAAATTTTATACAATTACCTAACATAACCCAGACAAGATAATTCAGACAAAGAGAAACTAATTACAAGTAAATTTTCCTGATTTAAGAGTATGAATAAAACATTAGCTAATAGTTATATTGCTCCGTAAGAGATGGAGGAAGAGGATGCAAACCAAAAATAATCAGTTTTTCAGAGGAAAATATAATTCTTTCAACCACCATGGCACAACTGTACAGATGATGGCAGAAATCAGCATCATTACCTGCAATTAGAGAATTTCACCTGGCACTCAGAGCCAAGGTGGAAGGGGATTAATTAGCCATGTAAGTACTCCAGGAGTATCTTCCACAGGCTTTACCTTGCTACTGCATCCATCTCAAAAATTAATTATTACACAGTTCCTGCAGTTCTTAGCACAACTATCTCTCAACTGTGTGCATTAATTAAACAAAATTTTTAAAAAGCCCAAGACTGCTATCACTCCAAAGTAACAAAGAATGAATTCTTCAGTGGGAGTCAATTCATTTTCTTTGATCA